TACAGCAAGATCACTGTGTTTTGTTTAGGAATCCCTAGTCCTTACCCATGACTCAAAATATGCATCTAAGCCAGGTATGGTAGTACAAGCCTGTAATGCCAACACTTGGGAGGCTGAGGCAGGAGGATTGCTATAAGTTCAAGGCCAGCCTGGACTACATTGTAAGTTCAAGGCCAGCCTAGACTACTCTGTCTCAACAGACAAACAAACAAACATCTGGACAGTGGGAGTCATCATAATCACAGGGCACAGCTTTATTTCCCTTTTCTCAGGCATCACAGAAAGGCTTCATGGTTTTGTTTTGTTTTGGGTACCAGGGATTGAACTCATGACCACACGCTTGCACGGCAGGAACTTATGCCGCTGAGCTAAATCCCAGACAGGGCTTCCTGTTTAAACCAAGAATGACTTCCATTCTAATTTTGCTTTTTTTGGTAGAAAAGTGGTATTGGGGGTTGAAACAAGGATCTTCACAGTGACCTATATTCCCTGTCCTTTTCTATTTTTTGAGAGGAGTCTTGTTAAATAATGTTGTCCAAGCTGATTGTGAACTTGCAACTCTCCTACCTCACCCTCCTCAACAGCTGACATTACAGGCTTGTGCAAGGTATTTGCACCTGGCAAGGTATTATTAAAATTCTTGAAGTATGATTAATTTGAATTTCTCTTCAATAAGTATATTATACCAAGCTATACTTTTAGAAGTAGGAAAAAGAGGTCCTGAAATCAAACTGCAAATAGATTGGATATCATCCTCACAAGGATGCAACTACTTGCATCAAATTTAATTTTTTTGTATAATCACTATTAAATACAAGAACCAGGATTTTTATTTTTTATTTATTTACACACATATAATTGCAAAAATTTATGGGGTAGGGCCAGGGGGTTAGCTCAATGGCACAAGTGCCTGCCTGGCAAATGCAGTCATGAGTTTGATTCCTGGTACCAAAAAACCAAAAACTTATGGGGTATAAAATATTGTTTTGATATCTGTATACACGATGTAATGGTCAAATCAGGGGTAATTTAACATATCACTGCAAACGTTCATCATTTTTGTAATGAAACACTCAAAATCTTCCATTTTTTTTGAGGGGGGGGGGTATCAGAAATTGAACTCAGGACCTTGCACTTACCAAGCAGGCACTGTGCCACTGAGGTATATCCCAGCCCCTCTTCAAATTATTTTGATAAACTTTGTTAACTAGAGTCATGCAATTGGGAAAAACTTAGAAATTATAATCATAGTGTATAACTTGACTCACAAAGAAAGTCTTCAACAGCTGAAATAGGAATGTATTTTGTAACAAATAGCTGGATTTCAGCCAAACATGAACAACTGAGCTTTAGCCAATCTCACACCATGTCCAACCAAGGGAAAGGCCTCAACATAAACTACTCAAGTTATCTGTAGGCTTCACTTCTGAGTGCAGCTATAAAATCACATTACCCTTGCTACATAGTGATACTCTGTGAATTCCTTTCCATTTGGAGCGCTGCCTGATTCATCAACTGTTCTTTGCTTGACTGTTAGATTTGACTAAAACTTTTTTTTAAACACATAAAAGCAATGTAGGTACCAGAAACGCAGGACATTCATTTTGTATCGCTCCACACAGAATTAGCAGATATGTGTTACCTGTTTCTTTTTAGATCATTTAATTCACTGTTCCTTATCTTTAGTTGCTAGACTGTCCAAAATGACAATCTTGCCTTTTCTATCTTCTGAATCAGGAAGTTTAATATTATTCAAAGTGACATCATAGGGGGTACTAGCATCATTCTCCTTGGACTCTGAACTATCCTCTGAACTGTCTTGGGAACTCTTCAGGACTATACCCTTTTTCTGAATCTGCATGGTTCATCTCAAATAAGACCACATCTGTATGTATACCTTCGCCAAGAGTCCCGTCAATATTTTCAATATGTCATTGTACAACCAAGCGGAGCCACTTCCATTTCTTACCTTTCACTAGACTATGCCACCTATAGGAGAACGTTCTGCACTTGGGCTAGTTCTCCTTCGCTGTGGCCCACAGTTAATAGCTCTTTGGACATTAAGACCATCCCTGCCTCTACCCCCAGCACTCTTGGGAGGGTGACAAAGAAATCTGAGTGGTAGAAGTCCTGCCGTGAATCTCCATGTCAGTTTTTTCTTTTTTAAAGCTAACATTCATTTGGATGCTTACTACATAAAATAATAAATAAACAAGTAACCTACTAACCTTGGTGAACCCAAAGGCACGTATCCGTGAGCCACAATATATATGACCTTAGGCCAGTTATTTTTGGGTTTTCTGACACAGGGTCTCACTAGGCAGGCCTTGAACTCACTATGTAGCCCAGGGCTGGCCTCAAACTCATGGCAATCATCCTGCCTCAGCCTTACAACTGTGTGAGCCACCATGTCTGGTTTGATCTTAGACCAATCTCTGAGCTTCAGCGGTAAAATGCAGAAAATAAGGCCTGTCTTCAGGAGAATTCAAAGGACAAAATGATACAACGTAAGTCTTCTACAAGCATACCTACTGCCTAGTAGCTACCAATACTACTAGTTTAAAGGAATGCTAAGTTTGTCTGGACTTACCTCATGGAATTAATGAAATAGTGTAAGGAGTGCAGGCCAAATTAAACAATGATAAACATTCTACAAGGGTTCTTCTAACTAGTCTTTGCTTTTCTTTGGTCTCAGTGGATACCAAACAGTATATGGGCCTGTTACCTTCTGAAACATGGTCTCCAGGAAATATGGAAAGAAATACAAAGGGAAAAAATGGATGGCTTTTATTATGCCAATTTGAAGTCTTACAACAGACTATGGCCCCTCCAGGGGGAGAACCACCAGTGTCTTCTGAGATCCACACCATGTTGGAACTTAAGAAGCTGGGAAACCAAGCAACCAGCCTGCCTCCCTGCTAAGCAATAGTGGACCTACTGGTGCACGGCCTAGAGTCAAACATCCCACTTCCCCTACCCCCCTTCTCCTGTACCCCCCGTTAGCAAATAGGAACCAGAAATCTGAGCATCTCCTGGGAGGTTGACCATAGCAAATAAGGGGGATTTCCTTCTACCATCTCTTTGAAGGCAAATATTTTTATTACTGTTTTGCTCTGTTCTGATTAATGGTACTGTTCTATTCAACATTCTGTTTTGATAAGTTCTATAATGTTCTGTATTTCATTTTATTTTGATATATGTGATTGAAAGAACACTATTATAAAGATAACAAAATATACTGTGATACCTATTACTGTTATCCCGGTAACCTGCTCTGAAGTTCTGTACCAATTTCACTGTATGATCTTAGTAGGCTTTATTCTGTCTTGTTCTGTTGTATTTTACCACACCACTTTCAAAATAAAATTTAAAAAAAGTCTTACAACAGAATATCAGCCTTCCAAATCACACTTAAGAATCAACATGGTGGCTGGAGGTGCTGCTCAGTGGTACTGTTGCCTAGCATTTGCAACACCTGAGTCCAGGCCCCTGCACTGCTCCCTCAAAAGTTAATACAGCCTTTTCATTTTTTATACAAAACAATCTCAAAGGGATTATTATCTGGCTTGTGGTATATCACTTTTAAAACAAATAGCTATGCATTGTGGTGTATGCCTATCTCAGCACTTGGGAAGCTGAGGCAAAAAAGAGCCTGGGGAACATGGCAGGACACCATCTCAACAGACAAATATCCTTTATCTCAAAAGCCCAAGATGAACATCATGATTTCTCAGAAGCCTTCCTTGACTCTTCCAGTCTAAAGTTATTTCTCCCTCTCTCAAAGTACCAAAAAGAGAGATCTCTTATGTTAGTTACTACATTCTACTTTGTAGCACAATTTTGAGGATATACAATTCTTTGAATACAAAACTCAAACAAAAAAAACCTAAACTGGACAGATAGTAGTAGCAGTAGCAGCTATCTGAAGGCAAACAGAACATTAATTTATTTATTTAGCACTGGGGATTGACCCTGAGCCTTCACACACAGGGCATCTCCAGCCCTTTCTTATTTTGAGACAAGGTCTTGTAAAGTTGCTCAGAGAATTAAGTTGCTCAGAAAGGACTCAAATTTCCAATAAGGATAGGATTCTTAAACAGTGGTACCTCAGTTCACCAACTTAATACATTCCATGATTCTGGAAAAGATGGCCACATTCGTATTCATGCAGGAAAGATGGCTATCTCCCAATGCAGGGTTTGCAAATAAAAACAAAATTTTGCCAAACAAAAGCATTCATGAACCAAAGTACTACTGTCTATGAAATTTGTATCCTATGGTGTCTGTTCAATAAATATTTTTAAACTCCTAAAATGTACTACATACTTACATTCCTTTTCTTTTCTTTTTTTTTTTGGTACAGGAATCATTGGCAGGCAGTTGCTGTACCACTTAGCTACATCCCTGGCCCTGTTCACATTTTCTTGAATATCTAGAACCCTCAAAACAGTTATCCAAGGAAACTCATGTATTCTGATTTTATAGATGGGAAAACTAAAGCTCAGAGTTGTTTCTGTAATTTTATCAAAGTTATATAATAGCTTTTAAGCTCAGGTGCATCAGTGTTCAAAGTTAATGCTCTTCCTGTGACACATCACAAAACCACCAAACTAAGAAGTGAACAAATATGGCTCTTTCTCTTCACATACAAGTACAACCAAACCCTAGACTATGACATTTCCTCTTGGCAGTTGGGGAGCGGTGGGAGGACACTGCATACTACACACCAACCCTGGAAAGCTTCCTGACATATTTACCATGAGACGGAAATGGTGTTAACGAGGATAACACACTGCTTTCTCCCTCCTCTCAACATCTGATTTTAGCCAGCTGCTCAGGGGTTTCACATCTTCCACTTTAAACAACATAAACACTGGCTCATTTAAAAGTGTCAGCCTTACTTAACATGTTCAGATGCCACTGCTTTTCAAACATACTCTTGTTTTCAAACAGCTAGGTATTTGGGGTTCCATCACTGCTGATGGGTTACTTTTACCTACCAGGTCCCAGAGAATCATTCTCTGCTCACTGTTTCACTGTTCAGTTCATCAAATCTTGTGATCAGGACTTTTTCTTTAAGCATTTAATCTTTCATCTTAAAAAAAAAAAAAAATGAACCAAAACACATTCCTACAGGCAATTCCTAAAATGTACAGTTTAAAATAATATTCTTTGACCTGTTTTTGAAAAGCACAACTGTTTTTCCTATTTAGCCCAAGTCAAGACAATTATATCAGAAGTGAGTTTTCTCCCATCTTTTTCTGCATATAGGGAATACTGAATAGATGTCTTTTTTAATTATTAAATGTAAATAGCTCATTAAATGTAATCCAATTACTTTAATTGTAAAAATGAAGTAATTACAATATGTACATGTATTCTTGCCTAGTAGATTTAATATCTTAAATTAATCTTTCAGTGCTAATATTTTAAATTAACCTCTGACATGAGAAAAATCCAAGAAACTGATGTCTTTTTAAAAATATATGTATAAAACTTTATGCATATACTTGTTATGATTTTACCCACAAACAATTTTAGTTGGAAACAGTCCACTCGCAGAGAGGAAACTGGTACTTCTTGCCTACTATAAATTATGTTTAAGGGGTTGTTTTTAAATTTTAAAGCCTGAGAGAGACAAAAATGTCAAGAGATTAATTCTGTGACACTCCAATTGTTACAAAAGCTTTACATGGAGAGACAATTCCATGATAAAACTTGTTAGAAGAATATTTTTAGTATAGTAGCCTAAATTTTATTTCGTTATTTTTTTTTTTCTTTTTTGTGGGGGTGGGTACCGGGGATCGAACTCACAACCTCACGCTTGCCAAGCAGGCACTTACACCACTAAGCTAAATCCCCAGCCTGTTTTGTTAAGTTTTGAGACAGGGTCTGGCCATGCAGTTCACACTAGCCTTGAACTTTGTGGCAATCCTCCTGCCTCAAACTTCAGCCTTCCAAGTGTGCGGATTACATTCCTATACCACCATGCCCAATTTGTTTTCTTTTTTTTTTGAAACAAAGTCTTACAATGGAGCCCATATTGGTCTCTAACCCCTGGTGATCCTCCTGGCTCAGTCTCCCAAAACTTTCTATTACTTAACTTCTATCCTGTCACTACCTATTGGTTTCCTAGGGCCATTTCTCTTTTTCTTCCTCTCTGGTTTCTAGACCCTCAAATTTGCTATTAACCAAATTTCCCTGAACAGCCATCTGCGTTCTTTGTCTTTTCCTCTTTCTTGGTGACCTATGGTAAATTACATAGCTCAATCTCTATGAACTGTTTTGCAAATAAGTTCTGCCACAGTCTGTGCACTGAAGAGCATTATTAAAATGGAGGGAAGAAATTACGTTGATGAGAAATTAAAAAAAAAATTGAGTTCTAAACCAGGGGAGGTGGCATGTGCCTGTTATACCAGCTACTATGGATCCAAAAGCAGGACTGTTTGAGCCCAGGAGTTTGAGGTCACCCTCAACAACATAGATCTCTGTATGAACCATAATAACAAAAAGAATACTAAATTCTATTTCTCTATTTCCTACCAAAATCTATCAATGATGAATATTTAGCAAAAATATTATACCTACATTATTGAAGAATTTTTTTAAACTTCAGAAACAGCAGGAACCGTCTGAACACATAAGATGCAAATAAGGTAACGAGGACTGTGTTTGTATGGCAATTTCCCTCCAAAGAACAAAAGTTCTATTTAAAGCCCAATGAAGCATCATGTGTTTTCAACAATTCTCAAAAGGTTCACTTAAATATTTTCCTGCTTTGTATTAATAAGCTAAAGGTCCAGCCCTACCTCACTGATACCACTGCCCAAACCAATTTAATCCAATGGAGAGGCTAACTGTGACTAATGCTCGTGGTTATCGGAGTGTAGCCACGTCAGAGCAGCTCCCAACTACAGAAGGCTGACCTCTGCCCATCTGTGCTAACTATGCAAAGTTATTTTATCATCAAAAAGCATAGACATGGGTTGCTGTGGGTTCCCTTGTCCCAAATATAGTACTCTAATGGATTCTGAACAGTTACCAAGGTTAGCAAGAATGGAACCTGGTATCTGAAGAGGATCACTGTGTCCCGTATCATTAAAAAACAGCAAACAGTAAACTGTGTGGCAGGGCACTCCTGTAATCCCAGCTACTAAGGAGGCTGAGGCAGGTGGATTGCATGATTCAGGCCACCCAGGGCAACTTAATGAGACCCTGTCTCAAAATAAAAAGGACTGGAGAACCAGGCATATAGCTCAGTGGCACAGCAACCACCTGGCAAGCACAAGGTTGAGTTTGATCCCTGGTACTGGAAGGAAAAAAAAAAGGACTAGGGATGGGTATAGTTTAGTGGTAGAACAGTGTCTAGCATGCATGAGGCACTCACTGGGTTCAACCCCCAGTACCACCAAAAAAAGAAGTAATTTCACAGGTAAAAAGTGTACCAGCAGCTAAAACTAAGCCCCTTTCAAAATTTCATCTTGATAACACTGGTATTTTTTGTACAAAATATATCTTATTAGGACAACTCTTGAAAGTTAAAAAGGTGTCTTTAAGAGCCTGCTGACCTAAAATTGCCACATTCCATGCTTTAAAGGGATTGATTTTCTGGAAAAGAACAAAAAGATGCCAAATTCTGTTCAGGGGATCAGAATACTACTTAGTGAACCTATTCTGCACCTGTGGAAGGAAAAGAATAAGACTGGCTCATGTACCCCAGAGGGAGGACGGTATTTATGTGGGCTCTCCCAATGACCTCTTGGCAGCAAATGTAAAAAAGTCCTTTCTTGAGAATAAGGGGTGGGCCCAGGACTTTTAACTACCCATTCAAGCAGGGTTACAATTCTCCTCCTCCATAATTAAGCTCCCTTTCCCACTCTCCATGCATGCATGAACTGCGGTGACATTGACATGGGGCCCTGACATTAGTCTTTGAAGGTCATTTAAATTCGCCTCCTTCTAAGCTGCCTTAACTGTGATGCATCATCCATTCCACAATGCCTGAGTGTAGGGTTTGACTAGACAATACTTAGAGCATATTGACCTAAAGCATAGAAAGAGCTCCAAATTCAGCTAGCATAAAAAAATAAACCAAAGAAATAAAACATGATAAAACTCAGTTGCTCACCAGGCATAGTGGTGCATGCCTGTAATCCTAGCACTTGGGAGGGTGAGGCAGGAGGATCGCCATGAGTTAAGAGTCCAGACTAGCCTGAACTAAATTAAATTGCAAGACCTTGTCTCAAAAAACAAAACATAAACAAAACTCTGAAGATAACATTAAGAAAAACCTAAACATCTAAAAATAGATGAACAAAAACACTTTTTTCCCCTCCAGTATTGGGAATTGAATCCAGGGCTCTCACACTGAATTATGCCCCCAAACCCTCCTGCTTTTTTTTTTTTTTTTGAGATAGGGTTTCCATAAATGGCAAACTGCCCAGGCTGGGTTCAGATCTTTTGACCCTCCTGCCTCAGCCTCCTAGAAGGGTAGGATTACAGGAGAACACCTGCAATGAAAGAAAGCACTTTCTATTGACAATCCTTTTTATCCAGGAAAGTATGAAGTCATTTACAATATGGCTTTATATGGGCCTATATAGGTCTAATCTCATCTCCTGTCACTTTCTCACACACATTTCCTTCTCTTCATGTCTATAGACTTTTCTAAGGCTCTCTACTGCACCATGTTCTCTTAACTCTATACTTTTGTTCCAGTCTGATCAGCCACCACAATTACCACCAACTTCTAAGGTCCTCTGAGAATGAGCTCAAATAATATACCTCTTTTTTTGTTTTATTTTTTCAGGACTGAAAATTAAATCTAGGGGTACCCAGTTATATCTCCAGCCTGAGGCACTCTACCATCCTCAGCCCTTCTTATTTTTTGAGACTGGGTCTTAAATATGGGGTCACAGGCACGTGCCACTGTGCCTGGCATAAAACATCTCTTGACAGCCTTTCCCCCAGAGGAGTCTGATATCCCTTCTCTCTCACATGCCACATTTTTATTCTAATCTTCAATACATATTGTCTAGGCCTATACCATCATACTAGATTAAAATCACTCATTCTCCTCGTAAAATCACTCATCATTCATTCTTCCTCTCCCACTAGATTGTGAGCTCCTTGAAGCTGGTGATATTTCAGTCACTTCGAATCCTAGTGCCTACCACCATGATACATACCAAGAGAATGCTTAGAAAATGCTATCAAATCAATGAAGCCACTGTTAGTGGTTGCTGTATGTTAGTCCTTACAAAGGTATGAATGAGAATTATCTGGATTTCCAATACTATAGCATTTCTTCCTGAGGCAAGAGAAATAGTCCAAATTCAACCTGTTTTAGAATTAAGATTCTAATTCTGTCACACAAAGACGGGACCTCCACTTTTTAAGCCCAGGGAGCAATAAGGGGTCCCATCTGAAACACAGCAGAGTAAGAAGTTAAAAATTAGAAATCAAGGCTACCCTGACCAACGTGAGCTATCTACCACATCCATTTTATTCATGTATCTCAAAGCTCTTACTAACACAAAGAGAAAAGAATGACAGAGTTATCGGCCAACAAAAAAAAATTTTCCAACAAGACTAAAGAAGGTCATGAAAATTAGCACATGTCCAAAACTTGAAAGAAATCCAAGCTAAATTAAACTTTCTAGGAACTTGGCCTACAATATCAGTAAGACCCTGAACCTTTCCTGTCTCTTGTATTCCTCCCCTCAGTATCTTTCCCCCACTATCCTCCTACCTGCCTACTTGCTTTTTTCCCCTAACTTTACCTCCCTCTACCTTTCTTCATTTCTTTCTTCTATAATTACAGATAGAGCTGGTGGGGGGGAAATACCAACAATAAAATAAATGTAAGATTTGTAAAAAGTGATAACTGTTCATTAATGAGCCTAGTTGCTCTGTTAAGTAAGCACTATGTTAAGCCTATGTTACGTAAGCACTATGTCCCACATTGAGAATAAAATTCAATACTTTCCCTGCCCTCACAGAGCCTGTGAGCTACTAGAGGAGACAAAAAAGGGACACAATAACACCCTGTGATAAATGTGACTACAAATGTTCAAGGTGTTATAGGGGTATGAA